CGCTTTGGTTCAGCCGCCTTCCGAGCACCCTGATGCAGATGAGCGAGCGCTACAGTCGACGGCTGCTCCCGGAACTCCTGTCGGTCAGCTGCTTCAGAGGCCGGTGATTCAGAGAGCCCTACAAAGAGCTCAAGATCAACCCTTAGAACTCGCCTTGGGGCGGCAAGCCTTGGCGCGGGGGCAGCCCGCTGACTTTGCTGCCGAGCTGCGCTCGATGATGGAGAGGGGCCGCAAGCGCTCCGTGACTGAGAGCGTGGAGCCTTCTGAGTCGCACCCCGAAGGACCTCCGACCTACTCTAGGAGGGTGTCTTCGTTGAGCGGCGTTGGTGTTGCGGATCCCCCTCGACCTTCTTCAGAACCACTGGGAGATGTAGGTACTGCAGACGGTGCTGCTGATCCCCATCGACTTTCTTCAGAACCACTGGGTGATGTACGTGCTGCAGACGCTGCTGATCCCCGTCGACTTTCTTCAGAACTAACTGGGTCCATTAGCGCTGCATCTGTGCCGGCTGCTCTGGGTTCAGTTGTTCTTGATGATCCACAGGTCGGTAGTGCACAGTCCGTTTTTGAAGCTTTGACCTTAGACCATGAGCAGCTGTGTCGTTTAGCCCAACCTGGTTGTGATCTTCATCCTCTCCTACAAGCGCAAGCGCAGGTGGAGTGTGACCGCTTGAGAGGGCTTGTGTCAGAGAAAGCCCCAGACCATGGCACGTGGGATGGTCGCTGGTCTTTGCCTGCTAGGTCTCAGCATGAGTTGCTTCAATCCCTTGGAGTCCCTATACCCACCGGTGTTCCTGAGGATGCTCACGAAGTACATGCCACCGGTGGCCGCAAGGAAAAGCTTTGGTCTCACATGAACGCCTTTGAGAAGAAGCTGTGGGCCGAGGCTGCTGTCAAGGGCTGGAGCGCTTACGTGGACAATGACGCCGTACGCGTCCTGAGCCTGCAGGAAAGCCTGGCGGTCCGGAAGGAGCTAGCTCGCAAGCGCGAGCTGGACCGCATCCTCACGCCGAGGTTCGTCATGACGGATAAGAATGACTCCTTGAGGACCGAAGGCGTGAACTTGCCTCCTGCTCCCAGTGCCCGCCTTGTTGTACCAGGCTTTAAGGACCGAGCCAACCTGGAGGGCGAGATCCGACGGGACGCTCCGACTGGGAGTCGGCTAAGCCAACACCTTCTGGTCTCCTTGGTGGCCTACCACAGCGACACCTGGAACCTGCTCTCCGCTGACGTTAAGGCGGCGTTCCTCAAGGGGGACCCCTTTGTCGCCCGAGAACTTTACATTGGAGAGACGAACCCGAAGGTCGGCCCAGACATTCCTTTGCCAAAAGGCTGCCTGGCCAAGGTCCTCAAGGGTGTTTTTGGGTTAGCAGACGCCCCTCGCCAGTGGTGGGTCAAGCTGTCCAAGTCGCTGGAGGCCCGAGGTTGGCAACGGTCGGCTTTAGACCAGGCCGTGTGGTTTCTTTGGGACGGCCCCGAGCGGAAGAAGTTGTGCGGCATGATCGTGAGCCACGTTGACGATTTGTTATTCGGTGGCGACGCTGCGGCCGAGAAGTCCCTCCTGGCGGTGGGCGACCAGCTTGGCTTCCGAGACGTGACCCGCAACGAGTTCACCTGGTGCGGCAAGTTCTTTCAGAAGCGGACGGACGGCTCTGTGACGCTGTCTATGAAGGCCTACCATGAGAATCTTCGTGAGGTTTTCGTGAGCAAGCCCCGGAAGAGCGACGTGGCTTCCCCCTTGACGGCCGTGGAGCACCGACAGCTGCGGGCCCTGCTAGGTTCGTTCCAATGGCTAGTGGCCCAGCTCCGCTTTGACTTGGCCTTCAGTGTTTCGTCTTTGCAAGGGGAGTCACCGCCTACGGTCGGGACCTTACTTCGTGCAAACCTGTTGGTCCGCGAGTTTCAGCGGAACTGCAACTTCGAGCTGGTGTTCCGCGGCGTGAATCCCTACAAGGGCGGGCTCATGGTGGTCACCGATGCCGCTCTTGGCAATGTGGACGTAGGTGGCTCGGCTCAGGAGGCCCCGCTGTCTAAGGTGTTTTCTCAAGCTTGTTACTTCGTGGTGCTCGCCGACGAGGCCTTGATGAACGGGCAGACGGGGAACTTCAACATCCTCGACATGCGCTCCCATAGGATTCCTCGGGTGTGCCGGTCTTCCTATGCAGCGGAGACCTTGGGTGCTGAAGAGGCCTTCGACGTGGGACAGCTTTGCCGAGGCTTTGTGGCAAGCATCCGTGGGCTCAGCCTTCACAAGACTCAGCTCGATGCCTCCATCAACTCCGTGCCCCTCTGCGTGGTGGTCGATGCCAAGGACGTCTATGACAAGTCGAACAGCGACTCCAACAGCTTCGGGAGCCAGAAGTCATTAG